TATACTAATAATAATAATAAAATAATAACTAAAATAACTAATAATAAAATAAAATAAAATAATCGTTCTATAACAATAGCAATGTTAAGGTGGCATTTGTTTGTTGAGTAAAGGATATTAATTAATTAACTAAAAAAAAACAACTTGAACAGATGTTGTTAGAGATATGATTAATTTTATAATAAAATTATTATCAATAAAACTATAAATAAACAATTGTTTCTTTATAAAATAATTTTTCTTCAATTGAACAATAAAAAAAGTCTCAGAATTGTATAAGATTTCTTTTGTTAAGAATAATTTATTAAGATGACAAAGAAACATGATAAGAATAAATATATTATCAAATTTATAAATATGATCTTAAATTTAATAAAGCTTATTTTTTCTATTATGTATTTGAATTACTCCTGATAAATATATGTACTTAGACTCTTATTGATGTGATTCGATTATTGATATATTAAAATTGGTTAGTGACTTAATCTAAAAAATAATATTAATTAAATTCAAATCCAAATTAAATTTATATAATAAAGTGTAAGTTTCAAATTTAAAAAGTTTAATTAATAAAGTTATTATTGAGATGTGCACTTAAATTCAAAAAAGAAATTAAAAAAAAAAAACTCAATTGTGTAAATTTTTTGTTTTTTGAATTTATAGCTGTTACTCATTATTTTCTGCTCTATATGAATAAAGTTAAACAATTGCAAATGTGTAATTCCAAATTTATGTTTGCTATAGAATTAGCAAGACAAAAGTTAACAATCTAATTTAGAAAAGTATCTTATAATTAAAAGCAAAATAATCAAAAGATTATTTTTTAATATTATTTTAGTAATTAAAATTAAAGCAAAATTGTAATTGTTAAGTGTTTTTATAAATCATTTAATATGATGTAATGCTTTTATTTGTTGTTCATATTCAATAAAAATAATATATATATATATATTTTTTATAAGCAGTCATACTAGTACTTTATATAAAAATAAAATATAGATTTTTTTATTTTTTCAAAAAAAATTGATATTTTAAAATGTTATAAAAATCTAAAATTTGATGGGTTTAATTTTGAAATATTAATCAAACTGTAGTTATTTTTATTAAATGATTTAACACAATTTTTACTTTTTAATATGATTAACTATTAAACAAAAATGTTAGTAAAAACTAATAAAACAACTAAAACCAAATATATAAAAAAAATAAATTTGAAAGTCAAGTTAAAAAAAACTAAAACAGTATCTAAAAAAGTATCTAATAAAAAAATAATAAAGCTTAGTCATAAAGATCATTACATTACAATTAAAGCTGCCTTTAAAGAGCTTGCAAGCTCTATGAATCTCAATATAAATTTAATCACCCTAAGGTTTGGAATTCTTAAGACATTATTTAGACATGCCATTAAAAATAGTTTGTCTAAACATCCTAGTTCTGAGACAGTTCTAAGCCAACATAAAGAATAACAACTAATGGGTTATTGCAAAAATATGCAAAAGTTGGAGTTTGGTCTGTTAAAATTAGAAGTAAACTATTGTATTATAGAAATAGTACATAACAACCATTGTGCCTATCCTTTTGCAACTAAAGGACCTAGCAGAGCTTGGTGAGATCAGTTTTTAAAAGATCATCCAGACTTATCATTTCAAGTATTTTAAGCTTTATCAAAAGCTTGTACTCAAAAAGCAAATTTGATAATTATAAAAAACTATTTTAATAAATTAGAAAAAATAATTGAAAACTATTTACTTACTCCAAACTGTATCTGGAACATGGATGAAACTGAATTTGTTATTGCTCCCAAAATCCAAAAAGTTCTTGCAGTAAAAAGTTAGTTTTAAGAAAATATTGTTTTAAATTAATCTAGTTATTATGTTAAATTATAAATTAATTAATATATATTAATATATATTAATAATGTTCAATATTTATTATAAAAGGTACCTATTAAGTTCACAAAGTCTCACATGAAAACTTGCATGACTACATCTCCATTGTACTAATAATTTTGGCAGCTAGTAATTTTATTCTGTCACTATTCATTTATAAAGGTATTCATATAATATCAGGTTTGTTATCTGGTGCTTCAAATAGTTTTATAATGGGTTTTACTGATTCTGAATATATATGAGAAGAACTTTTTAAAAAGTATATTGAGTATTTTGTTAGTTTAATCTAGTTTTGCTTATGCTTAATAGACTCAAAAGCTATATAAACTACTTAAGTATAAAATATTGTAGTAAAAATAAAATTCTATTATATGCACTGCTACTATATATTATACATATTCTTTAACCTTCTGAAATTCCTTTTTCTAAGCTCAAAATGAAATACAACAAAGGTTGTAATTAGCTTTACAATAATACAGATAAAGTAGTAACCAAGTATACATTTGCAAGAATTCTTGAATCAGCATTTGCTGCAACTTACATTCCAAAGGCTATTAAAAATGCTTTCAGAACTACTGAAATTTTGTTGTTTAATCCTAATGCTATTAGTTCTAATCTTCTTACCTCTTTACTAATAATAAAATGTGACTTTTTTCAATCCAATTCTTTATTCTACACTCTTTAACCAAGTATTTCATCTTCATTATACTCTTTTCAACCAAATTTCTTATCTTTTTCAATCTCAGAAATTATATTTTCTCATAAATATTCTACTAGGCATAAAATAAAATCATTAAGAATAAATCTTATATCTCTTGAAAAAAAAATTTAAATATTAAAAAAAGAAAATGAATTATTAAAAAAAAAAATAAATTAATAAATGAAGAGCTAGAAACTTTTAATAACTCTGACATTTGCCCATTAAAGCTAGCACTTAAATACTCTGTTTCTCATCTTTTCTCACAAGCTAATGATACCAAATCTTCTTCTTAATCTACAAAAAAAAGAAAAACATTGTCATTTGCCAAACTTCTTACCAATAAGACCTCTTTGCAAAAATTAAAGAGGCAGAAAAACTAACTAGAACAAAAGCTAAAGACTTGAAAAAAAAACTGTTGCCCAAAAATGAGCAATACATGAACTAGAAAAAACAAGAAAAAAAGCAGAAACAGAACATTGAAAAGAAAAAAAAAATAAAAAAACTGGATAAAAAAAATAGAAATCTAATAAATATAATAATAATTGATGAATAATTATTAGTTAAATAGTTTTCTTATATTCAAAACTTGTATGTAATAAAATTTATATTTGATAATTATTAACTTGCATATTATTTACCATTTTATCCTTATGAAATTAAAACTTGTTTCCTTCTAAATAACATTACATAACTTGTTTAAAACTTGTTTTTTTTTATATTATATTATAAAGCAAGTTTAATTTTATATAATTTAAAAAAAATTATAAAAATAAAAGATTTTTAATAACTTTTATTAGTAGAAAATATTAACTTTGCCATAATATCTGAAGTTACTTTATATTAGTAATTTTTTTAATGCTTATAATTTTAATAAGATGTAATGATTCAGCTATAATAAGCTTAGTTTGTTTTGTTTATTATTATAGACTGTATTGTCACTTCTGATACATTATATTTTATAAAATAAATTAAAAAGTTTATTAATAATATTAAATCTAATAACTGTTATTTTAAACTATACTCTTAGGATTATATATACTATAATATTAAGGTTTAAAAATAAATTTATTATATTATAATTAAATATTTTTTCTTATTAATTTACAAATTTATAAAAAATATTTAAATTATATAGTTTTTAATTTATAACTTT